ACTGTGTGATACCTGGATTAAGGAAGGGAAAGAGAGGAGCAACATGTTGTCCTACTGTCACAGAAGAAAAACAAAAAACCCACCACTGTATTGACATTTCCCTGCTCCCACACTGAGCCACTGTAGAAGGAAAACAAGCTACCATTTTAGGGGTGAGCACTGTCTTTTGAATGGTGTTAAAAATCTAACATTAACCCTCTGTTATTTAACAAGGCGACATAGAGAATGTATTGTCACCCCTCTAACTGATGGCTCACGGAGTAGCCTGAGTGATACCTGACTATCTTGATTGATAAAAAACAAAACTGCTTCGATGACACGAAAACCAGCCACTTGACACGCTCACACCTTGCCTCTTGTAGACACGCATGTATGCACACAAAGATGTCCTATTAACACTGCTCCAGGTCCACTTGATGCTACCAAACTGCCATGTAAAAGCCCACGGCTAACTCTGCACTGATTGTTTTTGTTCGTGGCTAACATGGTGACTCGTCGGAAAGAAAAAACACAACCAAAATAAGAGCCAAGGACAGCAATGGACCCTCCTACAAATAGAAAAAAAACATGTGCATGAAGAGATCGCCTGCATGTTTGTATGTCGGGTGTATGTGTGGATTTATTCTGGCTGATGTGTCAAAAGATGTTTCTTCGTAGCAGTTTGTATGCTTTTATTTGTATTAACACGCGGAAGAGTTGCAATGTGGGCGGTCAGAGGCAGAAGAGCCTTTAAAAAACAACACTGCTTTTATTGTGAAGGTTTCTCTGTGGATGAGGTCGCTGGGACAAACACTGGAATACACAACGTTAATGAGTTTGGTCTCGACGGACGGAGAAGATGACGAGGAGATGTTCACAACAAATGGGACTGCTTCCTCACTCACCTCAATCTTCATTAATGTAACGACTCCTTGAACCATGAAGACCGCTTAGTTTTTTTTGTTCGTTTTTTTTTAAACAACCTCAAGGCTGTGATTAGATGTCGATGCACTTTGATTTCAGTTGTCTGTCAGTTTCAGTCTTTTCTGTCTTGTTGGTTTAAAAAGGGAGATCTGTGATGGTTAGAATTGTGGAAAAAAATAACAACTTGACTGCATTTCTTGGCTTTAAAGATGAAAGGAAAGGTTATACTTGAGCCAACATGAATGCAGTTCAAGTCCAGAGGCGCCTCAGTAATTTAAACCTACCTGTAGGGAGGAAGCTCAATGTGTCACAAAGTAGGAATTTAACTTTTTAATCCTGTGAGAATTTCAGCAACCACTTCTGTTTGGCTCTAAAATACGACGAGCACATTTGTCCTTGCCTCCCTTTTGGCAAATATTCCGTTTGTTCAATTTGGGGATTACAAAATTTCACGGAAATATGCATGAAAAATTTGACATTAAAACAAACATCGCTAAACTTTAATTAGTGAGTTGTGCGTCCAGAATGACCGGAGACTTTCCACAAATAAGAGCAGAAGGTTAAGGAACACAGAAGATCTTCCATCTCCTGTGTGTCGGTGGTAGTGATCGGTGTTTCTGCACTCAGTGAAAACTTTAACTAAATGACTTCCATTGCTTTTGAAACTGACCTGCAATTCTACATGTTGAGACACTTTTATCTTTTGTTTTCCTGCTGAATGTTAAAAGGGCTGTTGATTTACTTTAACTTGTGCTCTGTGTGGATTAGCAGTCGGTTCGATTTTTTTGCAAGAACTGTCTTATTTTGTACTGTTAAGTCCTCTCATGCTGATGTCTGTTCTGCTGCACTAGTTTGGTGCACATCAGGCCAGGGCAGAGATATTTAAACAAATCTTTTTTTGCCAATTTGTGTGAGGCAAACTAAAATGAAGTGCACCCAATAAGTAATGTCATATCCTTATGTTTTTGCACATCATAGGAGATGACTTTTGGAGTAATTGCCAAGTTTTTACTCTCATTCCGAAGATAATTCTTAACCTATTTGACCAAATTCAGCATGTCTTCTGTTACACGTACCACATTAGCCAGTCCCTTTGGGGATTTATAAATTAGTGAATTGACCTCGACTCTAACGGAGTCCACTGTGAAGGCAGGCAGAGAAAATGGGGAGCAACTGTTAAGTGAAGGGAGTTTAATTTAAGATGTTTCGATAAACTTGTGAAGGATTACTCCCTTCTTTCCTTCTCTGTGAACCACACCTGATGCAAATGGGTAATCTGTAAATCAAAATAAAATGTTTCAGTTTGCTCTTGAGTTTTTGGACAAAACAAAGGGTTTTCCCCCATTTCTTTCTATTTCCTGTTTATCCTTACTTTCCACTGCCACCATGCACGGATCAAAAACAACAAAGGACCATGTGATGTCGCAGATTTTCCTTTGAATTTCCTGTTAGGGGACTTCACCAAAGGCTTTTTTAAATAGTCCTGTAACGTTTGTTTTAAGTTACAGTAGAAGCCTGAAACATGTAACTGAGATAATTTTAAAGCTTATTTTTCTTCCTCTTGATGTAAATTATGACTTGTCTCCAGGCCTCGACTGTCTACAATGGTTTAAGTGTTACTGCGCCTCTATGCACGTGCACCACCTTCAATATTTTCTCCATTCTTCTCGCACTGTCGGGGCAGTGTAGTGTACGATACAAACAAACTTTCTCGGATGCACAGTACACACCGGCTAATAACCTGCTAGCTGATACCACCCATTGACCCAGATCATCATTTGATTATTGGAATATATTGACAGTTTACTTGATTGTAATAGTAATAATTCAGTGCAGAATAAATGCATTTTTGGCATGGGAAGCCCTATTAATCATGCTTGCAGGTTTGCACTGTTAAATGCATATGTTCTGTATGCGTGACAGGTTTTTTTTTAACATTACATTCATGTACAAAAAAGATGCAGTGCCTGAAACTACTTAGGACTTTAGGCATAAGCATCCTTAAACCAGGGGCCAGGACCGCCCAGCAAACGTGCAAACATGACACCAAGATGCTCCCTATAGTAATTATGCAAACAGCAGATGCCTGTAGATGGATGTACAGTATTTGTGATTTTCTTTCATTTTAATGTAGTTTTTTAAAGGAAAATGGATACCTCAAAGACGTATATCTGCTGCATAGCCTTCTGTCATATCATGAGGAAGGAAAGCAGTAGTTTCGTCTTTTTTTCTAACATATAGCTGCCCTCTGCCTCTCACACTCCTTATATGGGAAAGGAATTAGTTGCGCGAACAAGGGCGGAAACGCGGCGCGGTGACAGCTGGGTAAATCTACCGACATACAGGAAGAAAAAGACGAAGCCCAGTCGTCTGCTCTGCAAGCCCGCACACTCCCACGGTGACAAACGACCAAATCACTGCTTGACCAGTTTAGCAGGTAAGTGTCATGCAGTTGTGGATGTGGGGTTTTAGTGCGCATTTAAAGGTTTCGCTAAAGCGTGAAAAATAAGCGAAATAGAAGACAGCGCGCTGACGCTTCCTTGTTACCGCTGCATTGAACCATTCAGACAGTATTTAATGAAATCGGTGTGATGCTAACACACCCGGCTAGCCGAGGCTGCTATCCTGTTAGCCGCAAAATACGACGCTTAACCGTTGACTGACATATATTGAAATGTTTCCGTTCCGTTAACTTCTTCTTTCTGTGATAAGAAACGTCGGCTCGCTGAAATGTGGAAACTTCTTTTTTTTTTTTTTTTCTTTTCTTCTGCAGACTTACAATAGCTGACACAGGGAGGGGGGTGTGTGTGTGTGTGAGTGTGAGTGAGTGGAAAAGAAATCCAGGAAATGCCGAAAAACGACGGCAGACACTATACAACAGTGAGGGTGAAATAAGGGATCCCACTCGGGCTAACTAATATCTAATCTATATAACTGTTACATGTGTAAGCCTGACTTAATGTCTTGGTCGAACATAAACCGTAACGTATCTCAGGAGTTCCGTCTCGTCGCCGATGGTGTTGTGACACATTGTGTAAGCCCCGCAGACTGCTTCCTCACCGAGGAAGCGACCGTCTAGCACAAGATAGCGTTATTTAGGGAAACATGTGTTTACTCAAGCTGTCAAACTGTCTCCTCGGCCTCTCCTTTTTGACAAAAGCTTGACTTGTAGTGACGGTTTGTCTATTGGTGGTGGTCTACATTTACCCGGGTCACAGAATTCTGCACAACACCCACCCGGCTCTGCTCAGCTAGCTTTAGCCGCGTTAGCATCCGAGGCCGTCTGATTGGAAAAACCCAGTGATCTCATTAACATCAGCGGCTTTGAACATAATTTGTTGGAGCCCTGAGCCCACCGAAGGACTGTTTAGGAATGTTAGAGCTCACTAGCGTTGCATTGGTCTTCTTCTCTGCGACAAAGAAGATATGAACTGTGTGGTTTTGCTTTAATCCATGCAAATGGACAGAAAGGCTACGCACCCTCCCTTCTTTATGTCTGAACGTCTGGCCCCCAGGCAGAGAAACCCTCACACATGCCTAACCTACTTCACTCTCCCTGCATGCGGATGGTGCTTTATTTAGGTCTATGAATACAGTTGACAGGGTTTTACATGTTGGAGGAAGACCAGCAAGAGCTATAATGCAGAATAAGTAACTCTAGATGTCGGAAATTATAAATTCAAACTTCATTTGGCTAGTTTTGAAAATGCAAAAGGTCGCACACGCCCTCTTGTAAAACAAACTTCGGATCTATACTTCGCATATCTATTATTACTTTGTTAACTTATGCACATTCATCCCATTTTCTTAAATTCCACTTTAAAAGGCTGCCTTACTTTCGTGCTCCTTCTCCACTGAAGTTGCCGTTAAGCCCCAGTTTTGCCTTTTTATAGTGCTTACATTTAAGGAACATGTTATGAAAGAAAGGCATAATTCCCTGGCTTAAATCACTGCTATCGCTGCCCTCGCGTCTGAAAGTTGTTTTTTCTTTTCTTGACAGTGGCATTTCCTCGATAGTCAGCACTTTGCTGGAACATATGCAGTCACTTTACTGAAGAGCACTTTTTAGAAAATGTTTTCTAGCTTCTAAACTGAACTGGGTAAAGTTTGTTAGTGTCGTTATAAACAGTTTGTCATATGCAGCTTGTTTTTACTCCCACATAGCGTACACCTTCAGGGGGCCACTCCCTTCCTGTATTGCTTATGAGTCATAAGCTGAATAAAGGAAGTATAACTCTGATACCTGCAGGTATACCGTTTAGGCTGTAGTGGCCCTGAACAATTGGGTCAAGGGTAGTAATGTTATGTGTTCTATGATCTAATTTTATCTCCACGCCTTGTGGAGAAATTAATATACAGCATTGTCTGAATGAATGTGGCAGAAAAGGGGAAGTTGAGACATTTGGAAACTAACTGACTCGTGCTGTAAGAGCAGTACTTTGCTGGCCATCGTGAGTGATTTGCTCTTGTTTTTAAATGCGACAAGCCTCTCCTGCTCTGAGATACTGTTGATATGGCTTTAGGGCTGATTTAATCTATAACCTGCTTCGACCAGTGACGCTTTAGGGCACCCTTACACTGCTTACAACATGATTAATACATCTGAGTCATATGATAACGTTTTGCTCTCCTAACAACTTTAACCTGCCATAGCAAACATGGATCATGAACTTGAATAAAGCTATTAAACTATTTGATTCTAGTGCTATTTTAATACCTGAGATTTGCCAACCATACTTTCTTTTTGTTTGTTTATAACTTATTCTGAGAAAGAGACTTTGTTTTTCTCCAAGAACTTTCCCGAACACACTATTGAGTAATTTTCCATTCAAATCCAAAGACATGTGATCCAACAATAAATAAACAAGATTCAGATTTATGGTACTAAAAGCTTTTATTGAATGTCTGATAGTGTTAGTTTTTTTTAATAACCATATTTGAGAACATACAAATATAACTGTCATTTTTCAGATTTTAAAGCAGGAACTATTTGATAGAGTATGAAAACAAAATTATGAATTTGACCAGACATTTCGCCACCAAAACAATATTGACGTTTGATACCCAGCCCTACTTTTTATGTATCCAAAGTAAGTAGCAACTCATTTCTAGAGCTACTCTCTTGTATTACAACCAGGAAAGAGTCTCCAGCTTCATCATCGATCACAGCCAAAAACGTTAAGCGCTCTTTGGGTCATTAGATATCTAAATGTTTAGTTCAGTCCCTCTGTAGTGAACGTGACACTGTAGCGGCAGGTTTACCTCGTATGGACTCATTAGTGAGAGTGGTCTGTGTGCCTCGATTCACCGTCAGCCAGCTTTAAGTACCAGAGACTGGAGGCCCTCTCAGTCACACAGGTGAAGGCAGCGTCCGGTTACACCCGTCTTATGTAATGTTAGCTTCTCTCATTAGTGTGTGTAAGTTTAGGATTATGCTGGACTTGGATTGAAGTTGGTTAATCATATACTCAAAGGGGTTGGGATGATCAGTTTCCATGTTGGCACACATTCCCACTGTTGTGTTTATCACAATGGTTGCTGTCTTTCTTTCGTTCTGTAAGTGTCGCCTAAGTTTAGACTTTAGCTGCTGGCCTGAAAGCTTAAATTGATTGTGTTATGAAACATAAAAGCATCTGCAAATGACATAGTTGGGGAAAACAGGCCAGGACTGCAGTCTGCAGAGAGTCAGCAGTGACTTGTAATGATCTACATACCTCAGCAAGTCCTGACCTGCTTATCAACACACCCTTTTGTCTTTTTTTCTGTTACTCAATCACTCTAAAGGTGGAGTGTGACTATTTTTCTGGCATTTTTAGTCCTTTTTATTTGACAGATGACTGTGTAGGAATGTGGGAGAGAAATAGAGGTTACATGCAACAATGGTTCCATGGCCAGAAACGGTTCCATGGCATACACAAAGTTCTGCAAAATTGCAAATTCATATGTTAACGTTTTGTAGATCTTAATATTATGGAGGACTTGGTCTGTGCGGGTAATGCCGGATAATAACTTCCGTTATAAACAGACAGTTAAAGTGAGTTCCAGTCTGTGTGTAGTTTGTTATACATCTCAAGGTGAACAGGTTAAAAAAGCCGAGAGAAGTATCTTTGTAGGACTTATTGGATCATTTGACCTTTTCAGACCTCTAAAACGAAGTCTGTAGATATCTGGTCAAAAGCTGTGTGACCGATACTGCTGCAACGATTTGTCGAGCGATCAATAACGGTGTGCTGTAACTGGAAAGAATAAAATCTCAATCTGCCATCACTGGATGTATCTATCGATTTTTTTTTAAATTTTTATTTTTTTTTTTTAAATTAATTAATTTTTTTTTAATTTTTTTTTTTTGGAGTGATGACCCAATGCTTCAACATGTTTCTCTCAAAAATGTCAGCTTTTATCTGAAGCAGCCTGACACCGTATTGCAGGTATTTCGACCGCGCCTCGTAGGACTAAATTGACCAAAAGCAAAAACCCAGGATCCAGAGCACAGCTGTTTGTTATCCTACCAAAGCAGCGCATTGTTAATTGCAGTATTTGCCTTCACCTTGTGTCCCAGGAGCAATCCAGTCCCCAATCAGAGGACTACTGGAACAGAAAGTACCACTGTGTCTTGATGATGATTTAAATATAAACACGGGGACAAACGCAAAAAGAAGCTTGTGGAGCCATCCATTCAGCCAGCCATTATATATGTTACAATGCATAGACAGCTGTTTACATAACAAATATGATATAAAATGTGTTTTGAACTTATTCACTGTATTTATATATTGATCAAGGCTCCCATTCTGTCTCTGAACTCTAATTTACTAATGGCCCTCGCTCCGGGGAAGTAAAATCAATACATGGGCCTGTTAACCCTGTCTATTTCTTCCCATGGAGCTGATATGAGAACTATTTTTGGTTCAGTAAATGTCTGCCAGTCAGCCGCCGCTGACATTAACCTTTACCAAAGACTCTGTAGTTCTTTCGTCACAATCGAATATTAAATTTTGAATATTTATTACTCTACCCCCCCCCCCCCTTCACAGGTATGGCTGAGTTGGCGAGTCTGGTGCAGCGGCTGGAGGTGGCGGTGGGTCGCCTGGAGTCCATCTCAGGACCCGGAGGCAGCGGTGGAGATTGTGCTGGGGGAGGTAAACGATCAACTATCGTTATTATATGATTATTTCACTTATCATGAATAAGATGTCTGCTGAAGGTGTCTATGAGGGAGATATGACAGAGTACTTTAAGGATGCATTAGTCCGATAAATCAAGTATTTACATGTAGGTACCAAAGCTGAGTCTAAAGGGAGCTTTTAGTCTTATTTTTTAGTCTTTTCACAAAGTTCAGAAATCAGAAACTTGTTCATGCCACTCTCGCATTAGTGCAGCCACAGCCTCCTCAAGCTATTTTTTATTTCATTTGAACCTGTTTATTTTACAGTGTTGTGGTCTTTCAATATGTTTAAGTGCTTTTCTTTTCTCTGCAGCTGTGTCGGTGTTCGTGGAGGCCTATGACGAGATTATCAGCGGTCCCGTGGCTCAGTACGTCTCCCTCAGCCAGAAGATCGGGGGCGATGTCAAGACTCATGTAAGTTACAGTTTAAAAGTGACCGTGAGGCCTTATTATTAACAGCTGGGTGATTCTCTCATTCGCGGGCAGCTCCGACCCTTCTGTTCATAGCTGGCATTAGAATACGTCTCCACGTGCGTGTCAAGTGTCCACTTGTTATCGGATGTCAATTCCCCGCTCTAAATGCAAATAAACATGTACATAATTTCTGTTTGCCAAGACCACATGCATTGTTGTTCCATCCCCGGTGGCTGATAGCAGTAGTAATATTGGGTACATTTTTACCGACCTAAACACATGAGGTTGTTGTTTACCACCAGTCCCAGAGGACCGCCGTAGTAGAGAACTTCAGAGAGCCGGGGATGGGGGCGGGCGGGCAGGTATATAATCTGGGCAGAACACCGGAACAAAATCGGACACCTGCACACTATGAAGCCATAGAAATGATTGAGTGAAGCTGTTATGTGCTGCTGTGGACAATGTGGTAGTAATAAAAGTGTTTCCAGGTATTTTATTACCTTCATGAAGTATCGGCGCAATGTTAACCTCTGCTACACAAACTGTTGTGGATCAGCGCTCGCGGTGTGTAACGCAACCCAAACCACCTCCTGAATGTGGTCTGAGCGCTCTGATCTCGATGGGCGCATAAACACCTGTACTTGGAGCTGTCCACTTGTGATCGGATCACCCAAGATGCACGTTAACGCCAGGCCTGAACAAATAAATACAGTTATCACTGCACATCAAGTTATCTCACTCTGACACGGCACCAAAAAGATCAGTCGGTCACAAATGACACGTAACTTAGATTGCTGCTGACGATTTATTATTTTTTGAATTATAAAACTTGACGGGGAATCTTGAGTGCAATTTGAATGTCTGTCATTTGTTTGTTTTGCATACTTTGTGGCTAAAAAGTCAAAAGCATGCACCAGGTTGACGGTTTGTTCTTGATTTCAGTCATGACATTATGACCTCTGTCTTCTCTTCCAGGCGGACATGATGAAGCATGCGTTCTCCAGTCAGAGACAACTCCTCGCAACCGCCTCCTCCTCCCAGAAGCCCTCTGAGGTGAGTTAAACACACTTGGTAATTGCTCGGTCGCTTAATTATCGTAGTTGCCTAAACAACATTGACTAATCAATTTCAACAATTTGAATAATTCATTATGCTCATTTCTTGTCTTTTAGCCTGCGGCCCCTTCACTCTTTTGTCTATCGTGTTGTTTCGTCTTGTTTCCTGCCAGAACCCTAAATGGTCCTAGTCACTGAAGACTTTGATAGAGCTCAGTCTTTCTTTAAACAGAATTAAAACAGACAGAGGTGATTTTGCTTATCTTTGTAGAGCCCGAAACTCTCTTTTTGCTGCCTGCGGCTTTGATTTTGGCAGTTGCGCTGCTTCCTTCTCAGGGCGAAAATAGGTTCAGAACCCGCAATTGCCGCTTGGGGCTTTATTTATATTTAAAATTCTGCCCACTTACTGTTGAATATTCCAGCTAGATTCATGCAGAGGGTTAACAGGAGCCCTGCCACAGATATGTGGACTTGTTCCGTTGGTAGCACCCCTGCAACACTCGATGGATGTATTGTACGTGATCGGGCGGTATCACATTTAAATGATGTCCTCTATGGTAATGCATTCTTTCATCTACTGTTGCATAGGCGCAGTGGAAGCACAGGTCTATTTGTTTCCATCCCTGAGTAACAGCACTGTGTTAGCACTCATTAAGAAAAGAAGAAAACAAATCAAATGTATATCTTGTGTGTTGTCCGTCTCCTGTTCAGGCAGTTTTGGCGACTCTCATGCAGCCGGTGTCCAAAGCCATCCAGCAGGTGCAGGAGTTCCGCGAGCAGAACCGCAGGTCGCCACAGTTCACCCACCTTTCTGCTGTGAGCGAGAGCGTGCCTGCCCTCGGATGGGTCGCCATGGTGAGACTGGGGATGGTAGTGGTTCACGGGCAGGAAGGGAAGCTGTTTGGAACTGCTGTTTGTGTGTTACAGAGAGTGACTCTGTGTGTGGGGGGGTGGGGGTGGGTAAATGAGTGTATAATTGCCGGAGACAAGCCGCTCTTTGATTCTGTCTGTCATCACTGTCTGGTGAGCGACAGTTTGTTGGCTGAAACATGGCAGCCAGCAACAGAGCATTCATTCTTTGGAGTTCAGAAGATACAATACTACTCATGTTTGTATGCTAAATATGAAGCTCGAGACAGCAGCTAGTTAGCTTAGCTTAGCATAAAGACTGCATACCGAGGGAAACGGGCTCTCACTACTAGATACTCATCTCGCTCTCTTTTTGTATTTCCCAAAAAGTCAAACATTTCAATTCATCTCAGTTTAGACGTGGTGACATTGTGTTTACCTTTTCTCTTTGTGTCCCAGGCTCCTAAACCAGGCCCCCATGTTAAAGACATGCTGGAAGCTGCCATGTTCTACACCAACCGTGTGCTCAAGGATTACAAGGAAACGTAAGTAAAGCTATATTATCTTCTGCAGTTAAGCTGGCCACACATTCATTTTTTATGTAACATTAAAATGGTCAGATGGATTTTCTTATGCTGCCAAGCAACATGCTCAACCCGTCTGTCTTCCATCTTGCCTTTCTCCAGGCTCCTCTTTTTTTTTTTTTTTTTTTTTTTTTTTCTTTTTTTTTTTTTTTCTTTTGTTAAGTTCTATGGAGTCAGCAGTGACACGCTGACGCATGCTACTGCCAGACTTCCTGTATTTTGACCTGAAATCCAAGCTCCTGTGTTGATGAGCAGAGTTACAGTCAAGTTAGAATGAAGAAGATAATGAGACTAAAATCAGTTGCACAGAAACCGCTTTTATTCAAATGAGTCTAATGCTGTATACAAGACATGGGAGCAAAAGTTTATACAGTGTGAGATCTGGACTTGGTGGTTGATGTGGGTTAGAAAATGTTCTCTTTTAAGTAGTTAATCTCTGGTTTTGTTTCTGTGTGTTGAGCTTCTCATGCATTGTTTCCCTCTGGGACACTGAACAGTAAATTGCTAGAGGAGGAGATAGAAACAAAATGCTGAGATTTGAATAGACCGTTTCTGTCTCTTCCTCACAGGGACAAGACACATTTGGAGTGGGTGAAGGCCTACGTCTCCATCTGGACTGAGCTGCAAAACTACATCAAACAGCACCACACCACCGGGCTGACCTGGAGCAAGAGCGTGAGTCTCATAATCCTCTGAAGAGCCAACGTTAATAAAAAGTTTGATCAAGGAGAACAAATTTATCGAGCCTCTTACTCCCACTTACAGTGTAAGAGTAACCTTTTTAAAAGCCGCTGTAAAGTGCTCAAATTATTAATCACATATGCTCTTGGCATTTTTAAGTCCCGCCCCTCTTCGCTCTGTGCTCCAGTAAGAGTTGAGCAAGCTTGAAACTTGTCAGAACCTCGGTCAACTTTCCCCTTTCCTGTTATACTTGGATATGCTACGTCTGTTCACAGGTAACATTGCAATGGAAGTCGCATTATGGTTTCACAATCGTCACAATAAACTGTATATAGTCACAGCTACTTTTTGTTGATTTTGGCGTCCCCTGTGAACAAAAAGCGGTAGTGTTTCGCTTTAAAAAAAAGAAAGAACAAATTGTACTGCAGCAGGACCTGACGCTAGTAGAGGAGCTACTACAGAGAAATCCTCTCAGAAGAATAGCACGTAAAATGCAAACGATGAAGTAAAAATCAAAGCCAGCTCTATATTTCTATTTTTTGCCCCCCGATTTAAATGTTAAATTCAATCAGTAAGCTAAATCTACACTATTCTGAGTTGTAAATCAGCTAACATACTATCCAGTGAGAAGTTTTATTATTGCGTGTAATATTTAGGTTTGCTAACCTCTCTTTGCTGCAGACATCCAGGATCTACTCGTAACCAACTAAGAGTATTTTTATGTCATATAACCATTAATAGCATTTATTCTTATGTTTCCAAGGAGAACAAGTGGAGAATCTTTACTTATTTCATGATGTCTGGTTATGATTTCTTTTAATTGTTACTTTTTCTAAGCACAAAACATGTCTGTTGAATCATATGCTGTGATGTTAGAGGGCCTCAGTTGCAGCATTTCTGATGTTCTGTCCACCTCAGGGTCCCGTAGCCTCCGCCTCTGCAGCTCCTCCCAGGGCTCCTGCTGGTGGATGTCCTGCCCCACCTCCCCCCGGACCTCCTCCTCCTCCCATGGACTTGAGCGGATCGTCTGGCGGCGGTGGCGATGACAACCGTAACGCTTTGTTCGCCTCCATCAACCTGGGGTCAGACATCACCAGCGGTAGGTGACGAGCATCGGAGGAGTTTTGATGCACTAGATTTTAGTTTAATCTTGAGCAATTCATATCAAATTGTTGTTCAATTTCCATTTTCTTAAAGGTGTTCAGTAATTGAAGTGTAGTGTGGAGTTAGAGGTTTGAATTTTAGTGACGTACAAATACAATTGAACTGAAATGCACTTAGTGGCTCAGAAACCAAATATTACAGACAAATTCATAACTGAGGATGTCGAGACGTGTCGTACTGCAGGACTTATAATGCGCTTCCCCTCTTTTCTTGACGTATCAAGGCCTGAAGCATGTGAGCGACAAAGAGAAGACCCACAAGAATCCTACGCTGAGGAGTAATGCTCCAGTACGTACTGGACCAAAACCTTTCGCCTCCCCCCCTCCCCGACCTGCCGCGTTTGCCACCCCGACCCCTAAGCAGCCCCCTGTGTTTGAGCTGGAAGGGAAGAAGTGGAAAGTGGTAAGTTGTTGGTTCACTCTCGCTTAATAGGAATGGATAGATTTGTTTATGCAGCAGGCTGTCGGACTACCAGAATGAGTCATTGAACCAGAATTAGCTTTGTTTTTTAACAGCTAGCCTTTTATAGTAACTTCATCTCGTGTTCTTGTATCAACTCTTTTTCTCTTCTTGCCGTCTGCAGGAGAACCAAGAGGGAGCGCAGGACCTGGTGATCAGCGACACTGAGCTGAAACAAGTGGTTTATGCTTACAAGTGTAACAAGAGCTGCCTGCAGGTCAAGAACAAAATCAACTCCATCACTATAGGTGAGAAGAACACGGTGTGTTTAGAGAGAGAGAGAGAGAGAGAGAGAGAGAGAGAGAGAGAGAGAGAGAGAGAGAGAGAGAGAGAGAGAGATCTGCGTGTGATCGTTTGTGAAGATAAATCATAATAATATTATTATTAATAATAATCAAAGGTGTAACCAATCACATCTTTGAATGGCTGTGTTTCGTCATAAACATTTGTCAACCTGCTCATTTAGCTTGAAAATGCCAAAAATAGTCAAATTTAGGGAAATGCATTTTCAGAAAGGCCAGTGTGAAGGTTGGTAGAACCAGCACACTGTCATATCGTCATATTTATTTACCAAAAACAGACTTTGGCCAGTTCTACGACATGCGGACGTCTGACCTCTAACTGTTTCTCTCCATCAGACAACTGTAAGAAACTGGGCCTGGTGTTTGACGATGTCGTGGGCATCGTAGAGATCATCAACTGCAGGGACATCAAGATCCAGGTGTGTTGCAGTGTAATAGCAAAGTTCTGTATTTATTTATTTATTTTTTAAAAGCTTATAACGGGCACAAGGAATCCTCTTTGGCAAACTCGCTTAGCAGACTGTAGTGTGATGTGGATATTTGAGTTCTGCCTGCTGGTTTTGTTGCGTTTCACATCATTTCTATCATCCTGTCAGTCTTCAGCTGTTTTTGTTTTTTGCTAAGCATTGATGCATTTTCACCATGAACGCCCTGCTTTGTCAGATACAGCAGAACCGAATACTACTTCTCTTACCAACATACCGTTAATCAGCAGCTATTACATGAATTTTTGTTGCCGTTTTGTATCCAGGTTATGGGTAAAGTCCCCACTATCTCCATCAACAAGACTGACGGCTGCCATGTCTACCTGAGCAAAGACTCGCTGAGCTGCGAGATCGTCAGCGCCAAGAGCTCAGAGATGAACATCCTGGTGCCCGAAGGAGACGGAGATTTTGTGAGTATCCCATCAGGACGGAAATGAGACGAATAATTAAAAGGATCAGTCTGGTGATAGTCTAGATTTGTTTGTTACAGTCTACAAATCCCATGAAAAGACCAAAACCAACAATGAATTGATCGACTTCGTATCCAAAGCTTTTCATTCTCATAAAAGTTCACTTGATTCATATGAAAAAATAAATCTCCAGGTTTCTAATAGAGCATGCTCATTAGTCGCTCTTCAGCCAAGCCAGCTGCCCTCCTGTTGGCTCCCTGCACATCGTCTTCAAGGCTTAAAAATATTTCATCATACGTCTTTTGTAGACAAATTGTATTGAATGGATCGCGTTCTCTTTTAAAGTCATTTTGTTTGTTACACTCTGAAATAGTTTTACAGCCTTCCTTATGATTTTTGTAGACTCTCTCCGGCCGTATCCTTGATGTAGCTAAAGCAAATGACATGGATTTAAATGTGACTTCTCTCCCATCTCTTAGACGGAGCTCCCTGTTCCTGAGCAGTTCAAGACCGTCTGGGACGGCAACAAGCTCGTTACCACGTCAACGGAGATCTCCGGATAGACGCGGGCAGCAAATAAAATGGCCGCCCTGTCCTCGGTACCATCCCCACCCTTTTTTTGCAAACGCCTTCCTGGCTGATCGACCGCCCCACCAGCTAACTCTCACACTGTAGACTTGAGATTTGGACCTCGTGTGTTATACCTCCCCTCCCTCCTTTTTAATCAGCCAATCGCATCTTAAGCTGTCCCCTTCCATCAGCCAATGAGAGGACTGCTCACTTTTATCTGGAGCAAAATCCTCCAGCCAATCAGCAGGGAGCGGCTTGTTTTTCCCTGTGAGCCAGAGAGCACTTCTCCAAAACATTCACGAGTTTTCCCAATAGCTGCGATGCTCTGTACAATGTTTCGTATCTATCTGGATAATGCTAAGCTAAATTTAACATGTAGAATAGCCAACATGAGAACAAGCATATTGATTCCTCTGCAAGCCAATCAGGCGCTACTATCAGGAGGCTTCAGGCTGTCGTTTCTCCTCTTCCTGGTCCGGAGGGGCTGGTAGGTTTCTGTTCCATTATATGCAATCCACTGGGGAAGCACTTGTCAAACAAAGGATAATAGCATCCATATCACCTCTGCTGATGTTGATAATATTAACATTCATAGTGGATAATAATATGAAGAAAAATTAAGAAAAGTCAGCACTCGGCACATAAATAGGAGTAAAAACAAGCTGTGTGCGCATCATGAAACTCCATCTAGTTGACGTTTGAACAGTTAGAGTAGCAGGAAGAATTTCATTCCACGTGCTTTCCCTTTAACCCGCACATAGGACATTCCCGAGTATTAAAAAACATTCCATGTAAAAGGAGGCATGTAAGAAAATGTTTGCGATAAAGAGTAGTCGAATAGTCTTAAAATATTAGCCATCGACGTCTCTCCACTCGCTGATTGCTCACGTCGACTCTCTCTGGCTATCTTCAGCTCTTGAAGCTCTTCGCTGAATTTTCATTTATGTTGACTCTTCTTTTTCTTTTTACCTCTAATTCTTTTTGGATCCAAAAATCTGAATTCTGCTCATTAGTACTGGAGACATCATTAAAAAAATGTTGCAATAAAAATAAAGTCTCTGTTTGCCTTTATTGGATTAAAAATGTAATGTGTACAGAAGCATTTAAATGATGTACATTAGAACAGAATAATTTATTTTAAAAAAAGTCTCGATTAAACATTTCTGACAATTTGACCTCATAACACCCAACAGTGGAAATAGCCGTGTTAGCAATGCAGTTCAACAAATTATCTGCTGAAGTTACCGTCACCAAACATCCACATGCTACAAGTGATCAGTGCTAAAGGAATGAATTGTGTGCTTTCTGCATCCCAGCACAAGTTATCAAGCTTTTGACTGGCATTATATTGCTGCTGAAACAAAATAGTTGTAGTAGTCTATTATATTTAGTGCAAATAAGGCAGCAGGTTTGCCTTGAACCACTCTCTACCGAACTGCAGGTGATCTCCGTTGCATTCCAGAAAAGCTAGCTTTCCAGCTTTTTCCATCGCTGCCAGGCCCAGACGGTCCTGTGTGTGTGTGTGTGTGTGTGTGTGGGGAGACACGACATTCAGGTTTACATCCTCAGAAACAGCAGTTTACAGCACACACATTGTTTGCTGACTTTAAGACCTTTTAACTGTGAAAGAGCAAGGATTAAATGACAAATGAGTATATACAGCAGTTAAATTAGCCCCACCTTTACCAGCTGCAACATTACAGTGATGCACACTTTAATGCATCAATTATAAATCTTATATAATCTAAAAAAAATGATAGCAATGTGAGAGTCCAAACTCTGTTACCTCTTTGTAGAGAGCGCTCTCCTGCAGAGTTTCGGTCTCTTTGGCCTGGCCAGTTTTCAGGAAGCCGAACCACTACAGCAAAAAAGACTGTTTGTGATGCAGCTTTTTCATATTCAGTGAAACAGTCAAATAGAGTAGATCATTTAGAGTGTGTTCGGTACCTCTGTATCGACGGGATCCACTACCGTGTCCTGCAGGAACTTGACCATGACGAACTTGTCCAGCAACTGAAGATTCTTCCTGTACGTCTCATTTACAGCCTTTAAAAAAAAAAAAAATTACATTACTTAAATATATATATTTTTTTAAATGAGAAATCTGATCATGGCCAACTAGATTCAGACTACAAAAATAGAAATATATGATTGTGCAGCAATGTTTACAGGGAGTTTGTACAATGTAATGTATGAACCTGAAAATGAGCATGTTATGTCCCCTTTAAACAATCGATTTTAACAGGCGCTTACTTTGTCAAACTACATCTATTATTCCCCCACAATAGCAAGCTAACTAATGCATTGTGCATCAATACAAACTGTATTTGCTCTCAGACCTTCTGAAGTGCATACTGACCCTCTCCTGGTTGACGTCGGCCAGGAAGAGGCTGTGCTTCTTGTACAGGTCGTCGTTTAAGGGGTCGTGCCAGTACTGGGCCTGCACCAGGCTGATAACCACAGACACAACATCCAGTCAGTGCTGCCAGCGGTGACACTAGCCACACAATATCAAGGCTACTTAACACATCGGCATCACAGGGCGATCAACATTCGTTCAGAGAGGGAAGGGAAAAAACACACTGTTTTTGAACCAAGTCGGTGTAAGCTCCACTGTTCAGAGCATGGCGTATCATGTCACAGATGTGGGAGCTCTCTCCGGGACACTTGGGCAGCCCGTACACTCCTGAGGATTTAAAAAAACACACACAGTACTTGTCAAGACAGTTTGTAATGATTCATAATCTTATAAGTGTTATTGCCAAACAAGTCCCACGAAAAGACCAAAACCATCTCTTCCAGACGATGCTTTGTGTCTGTGTCCCTCAAAACCAAGCCCATTTGTTACAAGTGAAGATGAAAATCTTTTAAAAACTAGTCACAGATACAGTTTAACTTCTAAAAAAAGGCACAAAAAAAATCCTTAAACAGTTGGGCGCTATAGTTTCTCCACCAACGTTATTAAAATTAGAGTAAATAGTGCATTTGCCGGGGACTATTTTCAACCGCGGAATAATACACATTATGGTGCTCTAGTGAGTATTTACGGCAGCGGTGTATGTGGAATTAAAAATAAACTACAGTGCCCACATTCATGATGACGAAGGAACATGTCATCCAGTGCAACAGTGAGGCTCATTGATGCGTTTTTAATCGTGGGCGTTTCGGTGTTCCATAACGTTACCTTGGTGCTGGCCCCCAACGGAGATCAGGTTTTTCATTGGTGGAGAGGGACAGCGCTGAGCCACAGCTCTTCTGTGGAGAGAGGAAGCAGAGAGAATCAACGCATGCTTACTCATTCTCGTCAGGAGACAATAAACTTACAGCTCAACAGTTCATATCACACTATTCTCTGAGACATTGGTATTTAAAAAAAAAATTAATTCACTCTGCAGGAAAATCAGGCAAGAAGGGAAACTACACAAGCACAGAATTTGTCCAATTTCTACCACATGCACATAACGAAACCATTCAGCGTCCAGAACAGTAGTTGCGTACAGAAATTGTGCCCCCTGGGAGAAGCCCATGGCATTGTATCCTCCCTTCAACTTTGGGTCCTGGGCCAGCTGACTGCACACCATGGACACCTGCTCATTCACATCCATGAAAAAGCCATTTTTTGTGTCCTGCAGGAGGAGAAACATGAAAAGCTCAAAGCATGACAGGCAGATTAAAAGCAGTAAAACGAGCACCGTCTTCAAGGAGAAAAGCGGAGAGATGAAGTCACGGTGTTACGAGGGATCAAAGCAGAGTCGTGCTGGTTCGCTATGAATATTAACACTGGGAAATGACATAGTGGAGTTGTAAAAGAGCTACTCCGCTGATGTAACTCGTGCCACCGGCACTGCAAATATCACAGAATAGGAATCCTTGTACCTCATGTGGATGTATCAATCGCAGCTGCTGTATGACTGTGTGGTTGACATGTCAACATGTCGTATTTTCACACGTATTGTGTGTTAGCGCAGGAGGAAAAGCAGAATGGCAGGACACAAATGTATGTACCTTTTACAGAAATGACATAATTGGTTACGTTTGAAGTTACGGAACTTAAAGTAGTTGCCTTTTAGCTTGAGAAACAACATTAAAAAAAAGAATGACAAAAATTTCACATTACAAAATACATGCGCAGAACAGAAAGATAATAGGAAAGTCAATGTAATATTAAAAAGAGTCATTGCAATAATGAAAATTGGCTAATTTAATTTATTCTCATAATTAATAAACATTTTTAAATAATTATTTCTTTTTCCTTTTTTTTTATTTGTTGCATCACCGTGACTGTGCGAGGGTGCAATTATGTCAGAGTATATCATGTGCTCTGTACGGCATGGATGCAAGTCAGAGGCTAAGTTCTTGTGGCCACTGTGTATTGTTGGTGTTGTTGAAGCTTTGTCTATGTGTTGAAAAGCACAATAAAAACAATAGAGCAGATTAAGAAGTAACTAGAGACAAATTAACAGTTTTGTTCATAAGAGGTTTGGCACTGGCTGGGAAATATGCAAGTCTTTCTGTGTAAAAGTACCTCAATGACAGTCTTCCCGATCTCCAGCGAGAGCACGTAAATGCCAGAGATCTCCTCCTCGATCATCTTCTTTATCGCCCCCATGCTGAGCGGGTTACAACAGCTGTCGCCTGGTGGACACATCAACATTTACTTTGTTTTCATTTTAACCATTTTGTTCAAACTTGGCTCACTTCACAATGCTGATGTGTGTCTGTGTAGCCAAAGCCTGATACAGTCAGGGCTGTAAGTATTTGGACTGAGACACAATTTTTCTAGTTTTGCCTCTTTACACGACTCCAGTGGTTTTGAAACGAATCAGTCAATATGTGGTTGAAGTGTAGACTTTCAGCTTTGATTCAATGGATAAAACAAAAAATATCACAATAACCGTTTAGGAATTACAGCCATTTCTACACAGCCATCACCATTTACAGAGGCTCAAAACTAATTGGACAAACTAACATAATTGTGAATATAATCATTATTTTTAATACTTGGAGGAAAATCCTTTGCAGTCAATGATTGCCTGAAGTCTGGCACCATAGACATCACCAGAAACGGTGAGTTTCCTCCTTTGAGATGCTTTGCCAGACCTTTTACTGCAGCCTCCTTCAGCTGCTGCTGTTTGTGAGTCTTTCTGCCATTAGTTTTATCTTCAGAAAGTGAAAAGCCTGCTCACTTGGGTTGAGATCAGGTGACTGACTTGGCCATTGAAGAATATTCCATTCCTTTGCCTTGAGAAGCTCTTGGGTTGGTTTCACAGTATGTTTTACGTCATAATCCATCTGCACTGTGAGGCTCCATCCAATCAGTTTTGTAGCATCAGGCTGAATCTGAGCAGATAGTTTAGCCCTAAAGACCTCAGAACCTATCCTGCTGCTTCTATCAGCTGTGACATCACCAACAAACACCAGTGACCCAGTTCCATTGGCAGCCATACATGCCCATCCAAAGCACTGCCTCCACCATGTTAGACAGATCATGTGGTTTGCTTTGGATCACGAGCCGTTCCTTTCCTTCTCCACTCTTTTCTCTTCCATCATTCTGGTACAAGTTCATCTTGGTTTCATGTCCAAAGAATCTTGTTCCCAAACTGGTCCGGCTTTTTCTGGCAAAGTCTAATCGGGCCTTCCTGTTCTTCAGTGTTACCAGTGGTTTGCACCTTGTTGTAAACCCTCTGTATGTAGATTTATGAAGGCGTCTCTAGACTGTAGACTTTAACAATGACACGCCTACCTCCTCCAGAGTGTTCTTGACTTCAGTAGATGTTATGAAGGGGTTTTTCTTCACCAAGGTAAGAATTCTGTAACCAACCACTTCAGATGTCTTCCGTGGTCTTCAGGGCCTGTTGGTGTTGGTGAGCTTGCCAGTGCATTCCTTCTTTTTAAGAATGTAGTAAATTGTTGATTTGGTCAATCCTAATGTTTCTACTATCTTTCTGATGGTTTGTTAAATGATTTTAACCTAATAACGGCCTCCTTCACTTGCATTGACACCTTTTTGGTTTCATGCTGAGAGTTCCAAGGACCAGCTACCAAATGCTAATATAACATTTTTAATCCTATTGTCTGCATCATCTTTCATGAAATAGTGACAGAACAGACCACACCTGGCCATGAAACCGTTTGTCACACAATTTGTCCAATTACTTTTGAGCCTCTGAAAATGGGGATGACTGTATAAAAATGGCTGTAATTCCTAAACGGTTAATGTAATATTTTAGTTTTATCCATTGAATCAAAGCTGAAAGTCTACACTTCAACCACATATTCACTGCTTCCTTTCAACTCCACCGGAGTCGTGTAAAGAGGCAAAATTCGAAAAATTGTGTTACAGTCCAAATACTTACGGCCCTGACTGTGGTTTCATCTGTGCCTTTATACTAAACGTATAAAATGAGCCACACTGCTGCACTGGGTGACGTGTCATTACCATGTACATACATCCTTCTGCTGTCGTCACAAGAGCAACAAGTGTATTAATACGCCGCTGAAAATAGTCCCCCCAAAATGCACTATGTATTCCTGTTTGAATAATTGTTTACATTTGTCTTTTCATTGGATTTATTGACAGGAATAAAATACATAGAACAATAGCAGTCTTATCAAAGGAGGATGTGCATAAACACAAGCTGTTTTTCTGAAATGTATGGCTTACAATAACATCTGCTAAACATTTCAAACACAGACACCTGGTTGTTGAAGGAGAAGAGAAAGTGCTTCAGGGTTTTTTTTCCCACTTCCCCTGACTGTATTTCCATTACCAGTATGCAACAAACATGAGCATCCTTCCAGTTCTAAGTGTAACGTGTGCATTACATAGTGCAGAAAATGTCATCACAGTTAACGATGTTAAAGTTATGAATAGTTCTAGTCCTCAAAAACGGGTTTGTTCATAATTTCCATTAGATAACTCCCTAGAGGTAAATTTAATGGCTTTTTCCCCCCCCAGTAGGACAGGCCACACTGTCACTCACCCATCCCATGCCACATCACCAGTGGTACGGTCACGTTGTTGGAGTTATAAACTGGGCTGCCAGCGACCAGCAGCACTGGACCAGCCAGGAGGAAATACAGGAGGGCCGCTGTCATCCTGAATCCTGAAACAAACACACAGGGGGTCAAAGTGTGCATTGTTGTGTTGCGAAATACATATTTACCTTTTCTCCTTCTTCACTTTGTACTATTTTATCAAGACATAACTCTGCAAGACTTGAACAACTAGAGCCATCACAGATTGACTTAACCACACTTACCCAGGTGGTTTATGGTTTATATTCTGTACATGTATTCAAACTTGGAATGAAACCCAATAGCACATTATAAACACGCTATCCCTCGTTCAATTTAAACATTTATACAGATTGTTATCTTACTTATATTGCGTGCTACCTTTCATCTTATAAAATATCTCAAGTCCCATACATGCATTATATTCTATTTTACAAATAGATCTCTATATTAATACAGACAAGCACAAAGCACCATTATTTAATGAATTTATCAGGGTGGGGTACACTGTTAACAGTGCTGCTATTAACCACACCACTTTCACTTCACCTTGCAAATTCATATTCTCTGCATATAGTTTCTATTCTTATTTGAGTTATTTACTATAGCGGGTAAAATAAGTATTGAACACGTCACCATTTTTCTCAGTAAATATATATCTAAAGGTGCTATTGACATGACATTTTCACCAGATGTCGGTAACAACCCAAGAAATCCATACATACAAAGAAATCCAAACAAATAAGTTCTGAAATTAAGTTATGTGTAATAAAATGGAATGACACAGGGAAAAAGTATTGAACACGCTTACTGAAATGTATTTAATACTTCGTACAAAAGCCTTTGTTGGTAACGACAGCTTCAAGACGCCTCCTGTATGGAGAAACTAGGCGCATGCATTGCTCAGGTGTGGTTTTGAAACAAACAAACAAACAGTCTGCAAATCTTGAGGGTCTCTGTGGGCCTCTTCTATGAACTCTGATCTTTAGTTCTTTCCATAGATTTTCTATTGGATTCAAGTCAGGTGATCGGCTGGGCCAGAGAAAGAAGATAAAGCTGCTAGAATGGCCCAGCCGATCACCTGACTTGAATCCAATAGAAAATCTATGGAAAGAACTAAAGATCAGAGTGACTTGTTCAATATTTATTTTACCCGCTGTACATCTTATTATTTAATTATTTTTTCTTTTTCTATTTATCTGTATTGCTGTCCTTGTGCTGCTGCTGCAACAACCAAATTATCCTCATGGAGATCAATCAAAGTTTAACTTATCGTATTATTAAAAGATCCTATCAATCAGTATTCGATCAAAATCAATATTTTTTGCTGATTTTAGTTTAATGCTTCATACTGTTTATTAAGCATTCACCTAAAAATAGGCTGGTGTCTGCAGTTTTTGTCAACCGTGTCACTTGTATTGGTCTCTGTTTGTCCTAATAATACAGATTAATATAAAGTTAGACGCATAAATACAATAATGCAGCGCAGTCAGACTGCGCTGCGTCAGAAACAGTCACGTGAAAAACAGACAAAGCTGAATCACTTCCTGCTATCTACAATGGCTTCAAGTCAGTGCGACTGAACAGAGACTGTCTCAGATGTATCAGCAAAACAACGAGGCTGAAAAAAATGAATTACCCCAAAAACAGTGCTCACACAAATATACTTTTAATCAGTGCAGTCAGGGGAGAAGTTAACTCGAACAAGCGAACTAACGTTAACTAATGAAGAAGGTTCACATGAAATGAATCAATTAATAGATGCATTCTGAAACATGCAGTTGCAGATTTAAGCTATGGATAATGTTGAAATCAAACTGCTATTTAAAAAAGCTTATACAGCCTAATTAATGTTCAAAAACAGGATACCGGTAACGTTGAATGTCCAAAAACATTACTCACCGTTTGTGTTCTTCCTGCTTCTATTGTGGTGTCGTTTTGTCACGTGACTTTGCTTTGAGCCAACAGCCAATCAGATTTCAGAGGCGGAAATGTCTAACTTGTGAGTCGTCTTGTTGTAGTAATCCTGTCTGTTTTCTAGTCTGAATTAATTATATCTTTTCCGATATTATGGTTATTTAACCTCTTGGTAACTTTTGTCTTCAATCCCGGGCGGTGACGTTACGGCCTGACGTGGCATTTTAACGTATAAACACCGCGCTTACAGCTGCTAGCTAATTAGCTAGCCATGCTAGCTCGTTGTGAAAATCAACAACATTCCTGTAGGGATTGTTTAGCCACTTAGAGAAAAGATTAAAAAACAAAGACGGACGGCTTTAAAGGAGAGTGTAACTAAATAACAGAGACAGCAGGCGTGGTAGCAAAGTACAGGATGTCAATTCAGTACGAGGAGCCTGTGTTACCGGGGAGTTACGATGTTGTGGGGTCATTTCCTAAAAGTTTCGGCTACGGGGTGGAGGAGGCAGACATGGAGGAGAGCTCCACTTCAGCTGACAAACCGAGGATACTGCTGATGGGACTGAGGCGGAGTGGCAAGTCTTCTATTCAGAAGGTAATCTACCTAAAACACACCACCACCACCACCACAGAGGTAGCTTAATCACACCTCTTAAGACAGTAAAATTGAATCGCCTCTAAAGCTGAGCTTGATAACCTTAAATCAGGATTTATTGCAGGACTGTTGCATTAGTTGTTGTTGTTTAGCCGTACTCTATTAGCTGGCAACTGACTGTAATCGTGACGGAAATACTTTTCTTCTCTATGATCTGTGAACAGCATACATACAACAGAAATGTCTCTTTCCACTTCCTACATGAAACTGCTCACAACAAGGTCTGTGGATTATCTTCAGTAACCGCTTCATGATTTCTGGAGAGAGACATTACTGTTAAGATTTTCAAATGTTTTTTTTCTTTTTGGTGCTCTGAGCACCACAAGGCGAGTGCCATATAGTTCCATTGTATTGGAGAGAAGGCAGACATCACTATGGTCGATAGCTCCGATGCTCTGCAACGATCTAGATTGATAAATAGCACTGCAGGCAAGAGGAAAGGTGCTTTTTTTATTTTGGGAAGAACTGTTCCGTTAAAGAAACAGGTAAACAAATGGGGGGGAACAGCATGGATGGACAAACATGAAACAGGTGTAACGATAATCCTCCTGCTCCTCTGACCAGGTTGTTTTCCACAAGATGTCGCCCAATGAAACGCTGTTTCTCGAGAGCACCAACAAAATCTACAAGGACGACATCTCCGCCACCTCCTTTGTCAACTTCCAGATCTGGGACTTTCCTGGCCAGGTGGACTTCTTCGATCCCTCGTTTGACAGCGAGATGATCTTCAACGGGGCCGGCGCTTTGATCTTTGTCATCGATGCTCAGGTAGGATGACATCAGTTAAAACTCAAGAAGAAGAAGACCGTAGTTTTTAAAAGGCTTTCCTGTGTGAGATGAAGTAACACGTGACCTTTGCCTTCTTGTTAGGACGACTACGTCGAGGCCCTCGGGCGGTTACACCTCACCGTATCCAGAGCCTACAAAGTGAATCCAGACATCAACTTTGAGGTGTTCATCCACAAAGTCGACGGTCTGTCAGACGACCACAAAATAGAGACACAAAGGGACATTCATCAGAGGGCCAACGACGATCTGGCAGACGCCAGCCTGGAGAAGCTTCACCTCAGGTGAGTCTCTGACACGTCTGCACAGGTTAGATACTCAAGCTGCAAGATTTAGGGGCAGATCACTCCTAGAAACAATAAGTTTTATGATTGTAGTCTAACAGGATAGAAGCTGTATGTGCTCCACTAAAACACTAGAGACATGGTGATTTTGCTATCAGCGTGTGACCTACTGTACCTTTTTTAAAGGTGCTAAATTTGACATTCAAAGCATATCTATTGCCTCCACACGGCTCTCAACATGGCGACGACCGAGCCGGCGGCTATCAGCTAACAGTGCAAATTACAGCAACAGCGTTGACGGAGCTAACGGTGTTTACCAGAGGGGGAATTGAAAGGTGGGTGCTACGCTTTCGTGACGAAGCGGTAGGTCGGTGCAGCGTCATCAGCTGTAACCGCCGTATGAGAGCGGTGCAGAGTGCCGGCCGTGAGCTAACCTGTGTGGGCCGCTCACATGCACTTAAAGGCATGCGCAGCCGGCCACACTATGTCAACAAAGCAGAGAGAAGCTCAGATTACAACGCACTCAGAGGGAGAGCAACTTCCTTCTCTACTCGGGTAGAAATTACTCCACTTCATCTTTACATAGATGATAGTTATTTGATGCTATATTAATGCTCTGAATATCGTATAGAGAACCTTTTAAAGCTGCACTTTTTATGTTAAATATCGTGTGTGAAAGCTGTGTGTAATGGAAAGTATTACTCATTGTTATTAACACCCAACTCCTCCTTTTCCCCTCGCTTTGTGGTAACAACTTTCCCTTCCCTCAAGTGGTCAAAAATGAACCTCGATATTGTATAACTTATACATACAAATCAAGCTGTTTCTTGTCGTCATTGTTTTGAGTCTACCTAATTATAGGAGTCTATTGGTGAGGTCAGACATTTCAGGGTTAAGTTCCTATTCTATCACCGTGAAACGGTCGGATTAGTATATTGTTTCGTCTTGCAGTGTTATAGCCGAGACTCATTTGTTGACACGGTATTTTTTGCAGTGTGCTAACTCCTCTCCTGCTTTCACTCCTCAGCTTCTACCTGACCAGCATCTACGACCACTCCATATTCGAGGCCTTCAGTAAAGTCGTCCAGAAGCTCCTTCCTCAGTTACCAACGTTGGAGAACCTTTTGAACATTTTCATATCGGTATGTTTCTGTTACGTTTAATAAAATATAGTCTCTACAGCGTGTCCTTTTTTGTACCGTCTCTTATGAACGTCCTTCGTGTTTTGCAGCACTCTGGGATCGAGAAAGCCTTCCTGTTTGACGTCGTTAGCAAGATTTACATCGCCACAGACAGCTCTCCTGTGGACATGCAGTCCTACGAACTCTGCTGTGATATGATAGACGTTGTCATCGATGTCTCCTGCATTTACGGGTGAGAAGAATTATATTTGTTTGAAGTGTTGGCAGTGGTCGCATCCTTTGGTTGAACGGTTTTGAAGGTGGCTCTCCGTCTTCTCCTCCGTGACAGGCTGATGGAGGACGGCAGTGCCTATGACAAGGAGTCTATGGCTATCATCAAGCTCAACAACACCACAGTGCTTTATTTGAAAGAGGTCACAAAGTTCCTCGCACTCGTCTGCATCCTCAGAGAGGAGAGCTTTGAGAGGAAAGGTGGGTAGTTTTTGTTTTTATAAACAGTTGAGTTGGCACCAGTAGGCCAGGGTTTAAATACACAGGATGTCCTGAATGTGTGATTAAAGCGTGAAGCTGCCAACTCTAAAGTGTCTAAAGTTAAAAAGTAGATCTGAGTCACAGTTTTAACATCCAGTCTAAGCTGGCAAAACTGTAATAGCACCTATTTTTTACGTAGTAAGATCTCTTATCACATTTGAAATGAAATGCTTTAAAAGACTTCTTGTCCTCTTCACAGGTTTGATAGAGTACAACTTCCATTGTTTCCGAAAAGCCATCCACGAAGTGTTTGAAGTTGGCTCCCCACCACAAGACGTCCGCTCCTCCAGAAACCACCGGATGGGCCTAAAGTACGCCGGGATGAATGGCAGTGCTGTTTAAAGGGCAGGAGGTGTGTGTGTGTGTGTGTGTGTGTGTGTGTGTGTGTGTGTGTGTGTGCGCATGCATGCGTGCGTGCGTGTGTCTGTGTGTTTACCTTAAGAGCAGCGAGGCTGCGCGACGTGGAGAGATCACACGAGAGCACACATGCCTCCTGTCAAACACGCGTTACCTTACTGTGTGCAGCTGAATGTGAATCAGTTAGAACTGATGAACTGAGCTTACGCCAAAAAACAAACAAAATCGTGCTTCTTTCTTTTTGCACATTTATCGGTATTGAAATGTCAGCTGTGTTTACCTTCTTGGCCAGTTACTTGTGTGTACTCTGCAACATTTAAATATACGCCTATCTGATCCAATATAAGCACTTATAGTCAATATGAACAAAGAGCTCTGTTGACTGAAGCTAAAAACTGAATTTCCACAAACTAAAATGAACAGAATGAACTTTCTTTCATGGTCCTGCTCATTTAACCTTGAACTGTTGCGTTGTGTAAGTGGATCTAACAGCCAGTATGAAAACGAAAGCACAGTGTTTGTTCTGCCGTGTTTTCTGTTGATAATGAATCATGTGACCAGCGGCCGGAGCTCTGCTCAGGATCCCCGTCAGACCAGCACTGTGCCAGTTCCCCCATTAGAGCCTTGGTTTAATAACAGCATGTTGGTCCTAATGGAGTCTGGGAATAACGGATGATGCTTTTCACTCGGACGAACCTGCCGCGTCTGATGACGCTCGACTTTTTTTGTAGCTTGTGATGAACGTTTTGACCAAATTTACTCCACAGGGATTCTGTTTGCAGCGGCTTGTTTTGCTTTTTTCAGAGATTTGTAATTATTGTACATATTTCTTTAATAAAATGTTTCCTATTTTTTCTGAGTCACAGTTGTGACCTTTTTTTGCTCATAATTAGTGTCTCACAAGTTAAGAAAGTTGTTAATATAATAAGATAAATGTAAACCATAGTTGATATGTCATAGTTTTGAGAGTTTTTTAAAGATTTTGTATATTAAGATGTGTATATACTTGGTCATAGCTATGAGATACTTTGTCATAAATATTAGATATGGTAGTTAAATATGAATGTTTTATTAATTATTATTGCTTTATTTCTGGCAATTATAATGTATTTTCTCATAACTCATAATTTATTTTACTTATTTAGTGAAAGTATCTGATATATAGGAGATACAAAGAATTGTGAGAAACTAAATAGATTCGACATTTGTTAAATATGAGGAAATATAATTCATAATCATTACGGTTTGGCTCAGTGTCTCATTTTTGAGAGTTTCTTAAATTCATGATACAAAGTCATATTTGTAAGGCACTATCACAATTATGAGATACAAAATCATTAAACAAATGTACACATTTTATCATGAAGTGTCTCATAATTCTGAGACAGCTTCTCATAAGGTATGTCGGTAATAATTACGAGGTTATAGATAAGTCAATCACGTGTTTTTTATCACAATGATGCAAACCCTTCTGATAATTACAAAACTTCCAAAATGTTCCTAATAGCTATAATATTTTGAGGGTTTCTCATAATTATGAGTTAAGAATCCATTACCTTACTTTTTCCTGATGAAATATTTTCTCATGTCTAAATATGTCATTATAAGAAACAAATAGCCTCATTATTACTATAGCTATATAAAGCTTTTACATTATGAAGTGTTTTTTCCCCACATAGTATGCCATATTATGTCAAAATAGCATAATTATGACATATTAACAACTATAATAATTTTGAGATTCTAAGCCGTAATATTAAGGCATTACTTAATTTCCTTATAATTATTGTCTCATAATTATGACAAAAGTCTTAATAGTAGAGTAACTGGGCGTCCATAGTATGGACAGGTTTAAAGAGTAATCACCTTACATATTTTGTTTAATATTGTGATAATAAAAGTTATTTCATAGACTTTTAGCTTCATGTCTGTTTAAATCTGGATCTGTTCACTCAGTTGAATTGTTGCCACTAACAGGTTTTACCAGCAGGCGGCAGCATATTCACATTTAAATGTTTGACATTTCAGGATGAAGTAGAAAAAGTTTCACCTACTCTCAAAATTGTGTTATAGTTCAAATAAATCAATATTTTCAACAAGTCCGTCCCCATGAACTCTGAGATCTAACAGTCCATCAAGTTGTCCCGTTAATAAGCTCAAAAAGTGCCTGACATGAATGAAAAGGCTTCATCACTTCATGTGTGGACATCCTGACTTAATGGGTCGTGGCAGATGGAGCCACAGCTGAAGCCTCTAATCGTCCCCAGACCTCCTGCTCACCGCTGTGGAAAATAGAGGTCAATGAGAGAGAAAATTATATCTCCTTTTTATTCTTTTTTCCGGGACCCTGCAGTTTGCTCCTCACCACAGAAAATGTCACGGAGCCGAGAATACTTATAGCCTTGAGAGTGAAAGACAATACAGAGAGTGTGGAGGGTTTAATTAAAGCTGCTGCTCAGCATCCTCATCCATAAGTGGATGATGGTAGAAATGTATTTTAACCCCCTGTTCAGCCTTCATAAGCAGTATATAAGCAACTAATGCATTGTTTATAACTTTTACCTATTATAATGTAGTTGTAAACAGGCATAACATATTTTTAAGAATACAAAACTTGGGGTATTTATGTATTCATTTATTATATTATCATCTTGTGTCACTTCTATTTTCAAGATTTTATATGTGAATAAACAGTTTGATACTGTTTATAACATCTATAGACAGTCAGTAAATCATTTATAACACGTATACACGTGCTAAGTGCTTTATAACACTATATACCATTTTGATCCTGTGTGTAAAGGGCCATGTTGTGTTATCAATCATTCATCAACTACACATACGTTATATTTGTTGATGAATACATTAATAAGCACGTTATAATGTCTTGGTTACAATTACATTACAGTATAGTGTGTTTTAACCCATGTATCGAGTGTACTGCTTATGAATAATAGCCTAATTGGAGTGGGGGTGTTGTGGTAGTTAAGTGAAGGAAACCATTTAAAACGTCAATTTCAAAGTCCCCAAATTACCTTTATTGTGATATTAGCTGTAGAACACATTATAGCTCCTAAAATGAGATTATTATAAGGATTTTCCATTTAGAGAGGTTAAAAAATGGGTTTACAGCAGCAGCTGGAAGCCAAAGGTCTACTGTGTATTTAAAATATTCAATTACATCCAAAAAACACACGGAGTCTACCTTCTTTCGGCTCCAACTCCCCACAAGGTGAAAGAGAGACATGAGGGAGTGGAGAGAAGAAAGGGGCGGTGTTTGAGGGAATGGTTTTTACGTACCAGACGCTTCAGTCAGTGGAAACCCGTCAGTTTGCAGCTCGCGGGAGTTTCACGGAGGATTTAATTCTCTGTCATTATCTTCTCCAGAGCAGCGCGAGCGGACGATCGGCTCGGATCCTGCAGATATTCCCGTGAGCATCTCCAGAGGCTGCTGGTGCGTAAAGAGAGGTACGTTTTATATGTGCGCTCTTTATATACATGTGCTGCTTACAGCTTTGTAGCGTAAAGATACGTATGTGATACGTACATTTAAAGTGTGTTGTGGTGAGTTTGCATTGTTGTAATCTCCTGAAGCGTTGACGTCTGCTCCGCGGAGGCGCGCACAGACCTCATCACCAGACCTCACCTGGCGCAAAAAAAGATGCGTTAATGAAGCATCAGAACATTTTCAATGTCTTTTCCACGTTTTAATAGGTAGAAAAGTGTTCTGCAGAGAATCGAAAACCAATGTATTAATGAGTTAACAACGTTTATAGACTCGATTGATAATTAGAAACTGATTATCTCGAGCATTTATTAATATTACCAACATGTATCATTACATCATTACCGAATCGATAGGACAGATACGTACCAGTGGCATTTTTCACAACCTGGCAACCCATAATGTTCTATTATTTATGATAAATAATTTAACTCTAAAGCATCAGTAAATGATTCCTTACCAATAAAGACATAAAGGATGACATAGTAGTGCGTAATGCTAAGCCAAATATTTGACCCCCCACATCCAGGATGAAGCAGAAAGGAAGTCCTTTCTTTAGTGAGGAAACAGTGGATGTTATCGGGGGCCTGAACGGGGTCCAAAGTGAGTAACTGATACTTTGAATAAGTGCTGCGGCCCCCGTTTTTCTAGTAGGATTCATGAGGAGAAGAACAAGGAGACCTTTGAGGAAACAATCCCTTGCTTTAATGTTTCTTAAATTGACTCGGATGCACAAAAATACGGCTCCACGCCTGGACAATGAGAGCGCAATATGTCAAGCAATCGTTGCTTTTATTCATTTTGAATGTTACCACGGCATTTAGTCTTGTTGAGTGAAAGTGATGTCACTTCTCCTTCAGATTACACATTTTCTGGAGACTCAGCAACCCCCCCCAACTCACTCCCCCCCCCACTCACCCCCTGCTCCAGCACCGCTCATAGTTTCCATCACCGCACGCCATACATACATGTTCCAATCCATTTGGGTGAAATTAATTCATTCATTGAAACAATGCAGCTCTGGTTGCATGTGAATGTGTTTGGGAGGGGGGGTTTTGTTTCCCACAAGGAATTCTTGACTTTTGTCTTTTTTTTAGAAAACAGAGGGCGAAAGAAAAAATGCTTTCCTTGTTTGCTTTTCTTCTTCTTCTTCTTCTTCTTCTCAACCACGACATTTTGCCACGTTTTGACCAGTCGTCACATTCCTCTGGGATTCTTGCGTTGGGTGAAGGTTGGGCCTGCTTGTGTACAATCAGTGGAGACGAGCCAGACACAAAATAAAACAGTTGAAGGGAGATGATTTTTTTGGGATTGTCAAAGCGACAGCTGGTCATAAAAATGTGACAAGAGAGTCTCATGAGTCAGTCCCACTCATGTCTCGGCCTTTTACATTTCCTGTTTCTGCGGCACAGCATGGCAAGGGTTGGAAATGCATTGATTTGGTGTCTTGCTCAGAGTGAGATGAAAATATTGTTACCACTCTCACGTCTGTACACTAAATATGAAGGTACGGTTAGCTTAGCTTAGCATAAAGACTGGAAACAGGGGGAAACAGCTAGCCTGGCTCTGACCAAAGGCAGCACCACTCTAGCACACTGGCCAACATCTTAAATATTTAGTTTTTAAGTGTGAAAAAGACATTTCGTTTTAGGGATGGACTATTTAATGGCCGGGAACATTTCCTAAGAATGAATACGGAGCTGTAGATCAGCTCAGCTATAACGACTGAAAGCAAAGGGAAAAGTGTCAAAAAATATGGTGAAAGCTTATTAATTAAGGCATTCTATCTTGTATGTTTAATCCAAACACAAACAGAAAAAAATAGCAATTATTGTGTTACATGCTGAAACTATTTCTGGCAAACAACAGCTAGGACCAGTGACTTCCCACATCTCCTCAACTCCCTCGAAAAACCGAAAATTGTCGTTTTCACATTTCTGTTTTGGTTCTGATGAAACAAAGGAGATGCGTTTTATTTACTGAGCTTTAGAGATTCTGGTTGGCGGATTTTGTTGCCTTGGTTCAGAGCCAAATGTTTCCCCCTGCTTCCAGTCTCCATGCTAAGCTAACCTAACTGGCTGTTGGCCTTGGCTTAATTTGTACCATACAGACGTAAGAGAGACGTGTTCATCTTCTCCTATAACTCGGGGCAAGAAAGCAGATGAGCCATTTCCTCAAATGTCTAACGGATCCTTTAATGAGTCAGACGAAAGATCACACATTTGACTGAAGTACAGTTTCCACTTCAGTTTGGAGTAAATGTCCTTTTTAAAGTCTGCTTTTAAATTTACAGCTCCAGTTGCTCAAAACCATCATCTGTCCGTATGTTCTGCAAGTGTAAGAGTTT